GGTGACATTGCAACAGGCCCAGCTCCCTCCCCCCCCCCACCACCACCACCATCGCCTGTCCCTCCGCTGCTTCCCCACCTGCGGGGCCTGCGGACTGAGGGAGAAAGAGGTGGTGAAGATGAAAAGCTGACCCACCCCACAGGAAATCCATTGTTTAGCCAAATCCGGGACTGAGAAAAACACACACACAAGTGTAACACTGGAGAAAGGAGAGCAAGGTGCCATTCAAGGCCATTGGCAGGGCCTCCTCGCTGTGCATGGGGGAAACAATAGGGCCCTGTGTGCATGAGGACAATGCTGTGTGTTATCAGCTGCGTCTGTGTCGCTCCTGGGACCGAAGGATGAGAAATGAGGCCACAGTGCCCTCCTGGGTCGGATGCCTCTGGAATTCACGAACCAGAGCCACCAGCCCTGTGGGAGGCCATGGCGTTCTGTCCCGGGGATAGGGACACCTGCTCAGCCATGCCCCCGCCCTCTCTTCTCTAGTCCCCTTCCAGAGACTCACCTCGAGTTAGCGCTGAAAAGAACCACACATGTCACCTCTCTAACCATGCACATCCTCTACTCCAAACCTTGGCTTGAGTGAGGGGGCACCTGGCTGGGACCACTGCCCGGCCACACAGCCTACGTGGCCCAGTTGGCAAGGCCAGGTGAGCCATCATGTGGCGGCATCCATGGCAACCCCACAGCGCACCAGAGCGTATGAGTCCAGCAAGCTCGCAGAATGACCTCATGTGCTCCCGCCTTCATCCTGGCTCTGCCACCAACACCCCTGGACCATGAGGGAGGTTGTTCCCTGACCGTTAGTTTGCCTACCTGAAAACTGGGATTCTTTCAGTGTTAAGGTCAGGATTATATGAGTGGATACAGGAACAACTCTTAGAACAGTGCTTACTCCCTAGACATCACTTGGGAAGTATGAATGGCAACTTAGATGCCCACATCGCCCCGAGGACTTGCTTAGATCCATGAAGAGATGGATGGAAACCCAGGGTCCCACATCCCAAACTCAGCCCCACCACCCACATTGGCTCACGTCGCTGAAAAATACTCCCAGGGATGAGGCGGGTGACAAATGCACGGAGAGGGTCAGCTGTGACACACCAAGGGTCACTCACCAGTCAGCTGTGCCCTCACCAGTCTTCAGGGGCGGCCAGGACGCAGTTCCCGCCAACGGCTGCCACGTGGAAAGGCGGGATCAGCATGGGTAGGCTGGTCACAGAATATAAAAGAGCCAGAAATGTGGGTTTTTATGTCAGATCTCCCCATTTCTAAACACTGTGTTTCTAAAGACATCGTCTCTGCAGAGTTAGCCCCAAATCACATGGCATGTGATGCCTGATCTGGACACAGATGACATGCCAGTCCCATGCACACCTGTCACGGTCAGTCCCTCCATCCCCAGTTTGCCTGTAGTCTTCTGGTGAGCGGGTCACTCTTTGGCTTGGAGCAGAGGACCAAAAAGGCAGAGCTGCCCTCTCCCTGGACACCACCCTCATCTCAGTCCACGACCTGGGGGTGACGAAAGGGAAACCGGGGAAATGAGGCGGGCTCACCCTAAAGGACCCCAGGCCCTGCGGTTTAATCCACCCCATGCAGGTGTTCTTTTGATAAAGAAGGCAGTCAGGGCCTGGCCAGTGTTGCTCAGTGGTGAGAGCATTGGACCATGCACCCAAGGGTTGTGGGTTCCATTCCTGTTCAAAGGCATGTACCTGGTTCGTAGGTTCGATCCCCCATGCTAGAGGCAACCAACAGATGTGTCTCTGTCACATCAGTGCTTCTGCTTCTCTCTCTCTCTCTCCCTCCATTCCACTCTCTGAAAAAGCAATGGGAAAAATATCCTCAGGTGAGGATGAACACAAACAACAAAAAAAAGAAGTCAGAACTTAGAGTTGGGTCCGGCCTAAGAGGTGAAATGTGCTTCTATGGACGCGCAACTCCCAAGCAAGATGGCTTGGATTGAGATGCAGCTTCACAGCCCGGGGGCAGCTGATCAACGTCATAATAAAAGCTGGTGAATATGTACACAGATAATAATTTAATTAAAAAAATGTAAAATAAATAAATAAATGTGTGAGCATGAATATTAAAAAAAAAAGAGCTGGTGAGGAGTGGAGGAACGGGAACCTGCGACCCTGCTGACAGGATGTAAAGTGGCCCAGCCGCTCCGGAACACAGTCCCGCAGCTCCTCACAAAGTCAAACAGAGTTACCATGTTACCATGTGAGCCGACAATTCCTCTCCTGGATAGATATCCCCCAAGAGAGATGAAAACATAAATCCACACGAAACTCCTACAAGAGTGTTCACAGAGCCATTATTCACCATAGCCAGGAGGTGAAATCAATCCCAAAACACACCCATGGATGAATGGATACACAGAATGTGCTTTATCATACAATGGAAATGATTTAGCAATCAAAAGGAATGAAGTAGCCCGGCTAGCATGGCTCGGTGGTTGAGCATTGACCTATGAACCAGGAGGTCATGGTTTGATTCCGGTCAGGGCACATGCCTGGATTGCAGGCTCAATCCTCAGTGTGGGACATGCAGGAGGCAGCCAATCAATGATTATCTCTTATCATGAATGTTTCTATTTCTCTCTCCCTGTCTCTTCCTCTTTGAACATGGGTAAACCTCAAAACTCCTGGGACAAGGGGGGAAGGGGGAGAGACAATAAAAATACCACATATCAGATTATTCCGTTTATATAAAATGTCCAGAATAGACAAATCTATAGAGACAGAAAGTAGATTGGTGGTTGCCTAGGGCTAGGTATAATGGAGAGTTTTGGGGGGTTGGTGGCTAAAGGGCATGGTGTTCTTTCGGGGGTGGTAATTATGTTCTCAGATGGACTGTGGTGATGGTTACATAACTCTGAAAGTAACTAAAACCCATTAAACTATACACTTGAAGTGGGTAAATTGTATATGTGCATTATACCACAATAAAACTATTACCAAAAAAAAGAAACCCAAACTATGATTGTGACCCTTAATTGCCTTCCATTAAAAAATTTCTGCATCCATATTGCTCTGTTCACATCAGCCCCACCAGAGGAGACAAGGAGGCCTCTGAAAGGATGCTTTCCCCAGGAGATCAGACCTAAAACCAGGGTGACTCACTGACCCGCTTTACCCAATGCTGTCCCAGTGTTAGCACTGAACATCTCATGTCCCAAGAAATCCTTTATCCCTGGGAAAACTCTTTATCCCTCTGCCACCCTGGGGCAAGCAAGCCCTTTCCTATAGCACAGGGAATCTCTCCCCGTTAGGGATGCCAGCGGCGAGAACCAAGTTACCAGATAAACAATCCTTCCCATTTTGGGTATAAGTCATCCCTAAGCTCCTCCTCACAGTCAAAAGATAATTTTATTACTGCTGTCCCCATTTTACAGATGAGGAAACTGAGGTTCAGAGACATGAAGTAACTTGCCAAAACAGGAGCTAGGAATTGAACCTGGGTCTTTTTCCAAAGCCCAAAGTACCCCTTCTACTCGTCGTATTGTGTCTCACCGTACCACTGGGCCAGTTTCCCGGGAACACCCTTACATTGTGTTGGCTCCCTGGGGAAGCCAGATGTCCAGACAGAAGCAGCATGAGCTTTTTAGCTCTGGGAAAACAAAGAGACAAGAACAGTTTGGTGGTTAACAGCATGGACTGTGGAGTCAGCCTGTTCCAAGTTTGAATGTGCGCTCTGCTGGACAAGTGACTAAAGTTTTCTGTGATTCAGCCTCCTCCCCTTTATATAAAATGGGAGAACAGTACTGTGTGTGTGTGTGTGTGTGTGTGTGTGTGTATCAAATAGGGTTGTTATCGGAAATAAATAAATCAATAAGTGTGGGAGAGGCTTAGACAGAGAGTGGCAAGCTGATGAAATAAATGAAAGCACAGTTTGACATATTCAGAACTGGGAAGAATTCAGATGAGTCCTAAAGAGAGCCAGGCAGAGGGACAGAGGCATGACAATGAACTCTCACATCCTATTCTGTTTCTTCCCATGAAAAGGTTTCTGATTGAGGAGTTGCTGGAAACTCCCCACTCCATAGGTATGCGTGCCAGCATGGGCAAGGGTGACCCTGAGTGGGGGTGGTGAAGGATTGAGAAAAGACAGACAAGAGAATGAAAGCTGGGTCTCGGTGGGATGCTGTGCTGACAGAGAGCATATCTGATGGAGAGCTAGAAGCTGGGTCTTTATTTTATAGCAGATGCCAGGAGGCAAAGGAAGGGTGTAGTCAAGATTTTTACAACATTCTCATGGGTTTTGATCCTACTCAATGACATGCATCTGGTCAAGCTTTGTTTACTTGCAGCCACATTGGGGCACCTGGAGCCATGTGTTTGAACCATAGGTTCAAGCTTACAAGTACAGCTGTTGTCTATCATTGTGCGGGGAGGGCTCTGCCCTCCAAGCTGGGACTTGAACGTGGCCATGAGAGGACTGTGCCCTCTCATTAGTCTGAGACTTGAACCTGTCCAAATACTGTGGTGGCTCTCCACATATAGGCACACCTTTAAAAGCACCCTGGTGGTGGCAATCCAGGCAGCTCTACACCAGTGGATGGCACCAAAGCCCTAAGTGAATCAGTTTCCCCATCTGGATGAGCCAAATGACACCAGCTCCTATCTATCTCTCGCAGAAGGAAACTATATACGCGAAAGCAATTATGCATTCATTCTTCGGGATAGGGGAAAAGGGTGAGTTCCAAGAATTCCGGTAATGCACAGCCACAATGTATTCCCAACCAGCCAAGTAGCGGGTCCCTGCGCTCCCACGGGGCCCGCCATGCAGGCGCATTCCTCAAAGCAGCCAGCCTACCCACTTGGGTCCAGGAAAATCAGAGTTCCCCTAGATCTCCTAAGTAAACAAGCCCAGCCCGCGTCCTCCCCACCCCATTGCCCTCAAGTCATCTGGCGGACCTAGCCAGTCTCCTAGCCCTTCTGGGCTCCTCCCCATCCCTCAGTGCCCCCGGCTTGGCGGGTTCCGCCTCCCGGAAGGACTACAGTCCCCAGCATGCCCCGCGGCGGCCGAGGGGACCACATGACCGCGCCTCTCCCATGAGGCGGTCACATGAACTAGGGGAAAATGGCTGCGTTGACTGCAGAAAACTTTGGGGCTCTCCAGAGCCTGCTGAAGGTAAATGGAGGGGCGGGGACGGGCCGAGGCGCCCTTTGTCCCCGGGATTTTAGGCGGAGGAGGAATTGGGAATAAAGGGGCCTTGATTTGGAGTCAGGACTCTCGACACTACCTCTCCGTGGCCCCGGGGAAATCGTTGCGCGTTTCCTGGTCGTTAAAAAAAAAAAAGTGAATATAATTTATCCTGCCCTCACCTTGGTGGGGGAACAAATAAGATAATGCGTTGTGAAGGCGCCGTGCAGATGCCTCCCACTAGTAGCCTCTGGGGCCGGCTTTGGTGGTGGGTGCAGGAGGCGGGTAATTGTCAGGCCCGCGGGGCCAGTTCCGATGGCAGCCAGCAGCCCCTCGGGCTGGGAGGTGGAGAAATGGTCTCTGCGTGCACCAGCCCCTGAATCAAGGGCATTCTTCCTTCACCGAGCCCAGGGTTTTCCTGTACCTCCTTTGACCCATGTAAAGGCCAAAAAATTCTGATGATGTTTTGAAGGATTGTGAGGTTGAAAGGGTCGTACTTCATAGAGTTTCAAAGGCCCTAATGAAAGGCTGGAGTTATTTGCTTAACTTCTGACTTCCTCCATGGGAAGGGGCGGCTTTAGCTTCCTTCGTAGTTCTTGTCTCTGGCGGACATTATGCGTCTGTCGTCTTTCTTCCTCACAAGAATGTAAGATCCATGAGGGACTTCTTAAAAAACAACAACGCACTGGAGGAAGAGGATTGAGTTAATAACACTCAGCACTGATGCGTGCAGTGGTCCCTTTGTTGTTTTAACCACCTCCCCGGTGTTTTGTCTTATTTTCCATCCCTAAAAGCATCTATTTTATTCACAAATCTGTTGCCAACAAGTGTACCCCCCATCCCAATACCTGGCACACAGCATGTGCTTAATAAATAGCTGTTGGATACATTAATGAAGGACGTAAGAAAGCTGGGACTGGAAACCTAAAGCTCACCCTCATTGTGACTGCCTCCCCTTCCCCCCGCCTATTGGAGGTATGGACTTCCGTGGTCAGGCTCTGCTGATCCCTCTGGGTGATGGGACTTGTGACTGCCTGGCAGGGAGCACCCCACTTAGCCCCAGCCTCTGACTTGGCCTTGTCTGACACCCTGGCAGCAGGGATGTTGGAACACCTCGTTACAGCTTTCCTAGGGTGGAAGTCTAGGCTTCCCACTCGGCCTTTGCTGACCTGGATCAGGGTGGGGCCGCCGTTCTTTCTGTGGTGGTTGGCTGGAGTAGAGCGGTTATTGTCTAAGGTTTTCTATTTTGCTAGGCTGCCCCCACTTGGCCCATTGGCCAAAGAGAGCAGGAACTTGTGGGAGCTTTTTGCTTTCTGCACCCAATGGCATTCTCCATTGCCCTTTCTTCAGCTCAGAGTCTGGGATGTATGAACAAAAAGAAAACCCAGGGAGCTCACCACCATGTCATTCCTTGGTCAGGAGGGCGGTCCACTAATAGAGGGGTCTTCTCTCCCTCTCTTAGTTGTCTTAGGTTTGTTTTCCATATAGTGCCCAGGATTGCTAGTTGTACTTAATGGGAAGAAGGAGGAAAAGTGCTTCTCATCCATCTTCCCTAGGTACATTCTGTTCTAAAGCATGTATTTTTGGTGATTTGTTTTCCATCTGTGGACTAATTCATAGGCTTCCTCAAAAGACGTTGTCAGACAACTATGCCAACAGAGCTTTTCCAGTTCAGCCCTCGGCTCGAAAGAACTGCTGGATACCACGTGTTCCAGCTTGTCGGTGACCCAGGAGGAGGCAGAGCAAGTAAGTGAGACCAGCAGTGACCTTTGACCATCGGGCTCTCAACTCCTCAGTCTCTTTCTTGACCCCCTGCCCTCATGGCTGTGTCCAGGAAATGTTCCCCTTACATGTCTGTCGACATGAAAGCAAACTTAGATTTTTATTTTTTCAGTGTCAGTGAACTGAACACCTTTGTTTGGAACCTTTATTTCCTTGTTGGAAATGAGGCGTGGCTGGGAGACCTTACCCAGAATCAGAGCTCCTGACCGTTTCCTTTTCTGACTTGTTACCTACACAGTGTGGCCAAAAAGCAACCTTTTTATGGTTTTTCATTCTAGGCCTGTAACTTGCTGATGCTTATTAAATGTTGGTTGGATACTTAGGCAGACTTTTCAGGGATCGCTGGGCAGAAACTGGGAGGATGTTGTTAGATCGGCTGGACCTCTCCTCGGCTCAGCTGATGGCCAAGAGGAAGGGGAAAGTGTGGCTCCTGGTATGGAGCTCTCACAGCCTTATTTTTCCAGGGCAAACAGTTTTCTAACACAAGAGGTCACCCAAACTGGCCCATGCTGTTGTTGGTGGTGTTATTATTTCAGCGTGGAGCTTTGTTCACTGAGGTTGGCACATGGGCATTGGCATTGACAGCAGAGGCCTCGGGGCTGGTGGGACTCCATTGAATGACTAGCAATGTGTGGCAGGCTGGGAGGAGAGCCCTGTCCCCTGTTCCCTGTCCCCATCTCCTGGCCCACTTCTCCTCACCACCCAGGACTCCCCATCTCTCCCGCAGCTGCTCCAGGCCCTGCACCGCCTCACCAGGCTGGCAGTGTTCTGGGACCTGTCCACCCCCGAGGCCGTGCTGGCTCTCTTTCCTGCAAATTTCCACCAGAATCTCAAAAACCTGCTGACAAAAATCATCCTAGAAAACATGTGAGTGCTCCTTTCTCCAGAGTTCCTTGTAAGGTTTATATTTGTTCTTCCTGTTCTAGAATGAATACGTTCATTCTTGAAAAAGCACACACGGTGAGCAAAAAGAAGCACCTGATCCCGCCCCCCAGAGGGTCGCAGTGTGCATTCCTTAGCAGGAGCCTCTGGGGGGACGGGGTTGGAGGGCATTTCTGTTTTTAATGCAGTGGGGAGATGCCCCTTTATAATGAGCTGGTTTGCAATGAACAGTATTAATGTTAATGATATTTCAGATCCGTACATACTTACCTCCATTAACATTTGTAGTGGCTAAACAGATTCCATTGTATAAAGAAATTCTGTGTAATTCAGTTAAGAAATTCCCAAGGGTTAGACACTTAAGCTGTTGGCCATGTTCACTTCAGTGAACAATTTGTCACAGAAACTTGTTTTGCCTGCATACTTATTCCCTTACCGGGCTACAGGCCCTGGGCGGCCCTGGGCAGTGTGGCTCAGTTGGTTGGGCATCGCCCTGTGCACCAGGAGGTTGCTGGCTCCATTCCCAGTTGGCACGTGCTGGCTGTGGGCTCCTCCGGTAGCAGGCATGCAGAAGGCAGCCGATCGATGTTTCTCTCTTGCATCAATGTTTCTCTCTCAAATCAATATAAAAAGGAGAATAGGCTAACCTTTTCTCTGCTTGTCTAAGAATGATGGCCAAGAAGATGGCAATGCATTGAGCCCTTTCCTTTTTTTAAGTGGTGAAAACGAACAGCACTTTGTCCTTAAAAGTCACTGAGCTTTACAAACAAACAAACAAACGACTGCTCACTGGAGTGGGGTGTTCCTGTGGTCCTTTCCTATCAGAAGGTTTGGGGGTCACAGAGCAGGGCAGAGGCCCTGGTCCATGGGCCTCTCCCGTTATCCTTTGCCGTCATGTTCACCTCATCTTTCCCTCTAACACAGATCTACGTGGCGAGCAGAAGCCCAGGCTAACCTGAGTGAGTACACGAAATGTGCCTTTTCCTCCTCACCCTCCTTCCCAGCCCAGCTCCCAACCTGCCAAGTGGCGAGTTTTTTTTAACCGAAAATCAAAGGGAATGAACCTAATCCCAAGCTCAACATGTATGTGGGTTTTAAAATTCCACTTATTTTTTTCTGATTATAAACTTAATACAGGTATGTTGTAAAAAAACAAATCAACAAACTGAAATTTCCAAGTAATAAGTGAGATACTTAAAATAATGATATTTCCATTAGGAAAGAAAGACATAATTGAAATTAGTGTGAAAGATTGAATCAAAGTGAGTATTTGATAAAGGATCACAAAATTTAACTCGGGGCTAGTCACTCCGCTGAAGAACTCTGCCTGCATTGCTCGTTAGTCCTCCCAGCACTTGAGAGTGAGGCTCAGATTACCCCCATTTTACAGATGAGGAAGCAGAGGCTCAGAGGTCAGGCAAGCGGTGGAACCATCTCCCAGCCAAGTCTTTGTCTCTCAAACAAAAGCTCTTTCCACTGTTGTCGAAGTTGCACGTTTCCTAAGCCTCAGGCCTCCACCCGTCTTCTCTACCTGCATCCCTTCTCATCTTGTCCTGCCTCCCAGGGGCCGGGGCTCAGGCAGCAGCCTGGAGAGGCTGCCACTGCGAATCAGCACTCAGCACAGGTGGCAGGGAGCAGTGGGCCCATCTGTCTCCCTCCATGGGACAGCCCATTGCGTGAACTGTCATTGTGAACACGCTTGGCATTTTCTCAGTGCCTGTCACAGAGTAAGGGCTCGGTAAATGGGGGGACGTGAGCGCTGAGCTGGGCTGTCCTCCTCCCCCTCCCCCACAGTCTCTCTGCCGCGCCTGGTGGACCTGGACTGGAGAGTGGACATCAAAACCGCCTCCGACAGCATCAGCCGCATGGTGGTGCCCACCTGCCTGCTCCAGATGAAGGTACGGCCATCGTCATCCTCACTAGGAGGACGGGAGGGCGGCAGCGGGGGCCATGGGCAGTGCTAGTCTCCCTGGTTCGGGGCCCTCTCGCTCCTTAAGCAAAAAAGCTTCAGCTCTCCCCCGGACACGGCATTTATGACGAAGTATATGTGCTCTACCTCAGTCACACAGACACATGCACACACCGGGAGGAGAAATTTTGAAATAATGAGATGGCAAATCAGATTTTAAAAATAATTTGCCGATGCCTAAAGGTCACCTCATACACCCACAGAAACCTGAGCTCTAGCGGGAGAGCATGCATTCAGATCTCAGATGGCCTCCATACGCTGGTCCCTGGCGGCCAGCGGCTGGCGGCCTGTCCAGCGTGGCTGGGTTACTGCTCCTCCTTCCTGCCTTCTGGAGGGTCCGTTCATTTTCTTGGTCTCACACTCTTGCCTCACTGGTGGTATCTTCACAGTTCTTTCTAGGAATCTTTTAAAGCCACGGACCCATTTTTTTTACAAACATATTTTATTGATTTTTTTACAGAGAGGAAGGGAGAGGGATAGAGAGCTAGAAACATCAAACAGCTGCCTCCTGCACTCCCCAAACCAGAGATGTGCCCGCAACCAATGTACATGCCCTTGACCGGAATCGAACCTGGGACCTTTCAGTCCGCAGATCGATGCTCTGTCCACTGAGCCAAGCCGGTTTTGGCAACTACGGACCCATTTTAAGGGTTTGTTTGGTTACATTTAGATAATGCAATGCTGTATTTACTCAACCAGACACACAGACTCAACACCTCAAAGAAAATGAAATTGTGCCTCTAACAATGAAGTTTTTAGATATTAGTAAAGCGTGCTTTTAAAGAAAGCTATAAATACAAATACAGGTCGTGGTACAGAGGTGGGCTGACGGTTGTTCGTCTGGGACAAAACACGCAGGTTATGATGATTACAGTCGCTTCATTGACTTGGGGAACAGCAAGTGGCACAGCGCTCTTAGGTACGTTGAGTGCTCCACGTGCCTGCCTTTGTTTACACGCCCTCGCAGTCTCCTTGCTGTCCGCAAGTACACTGTGGCTCAGAGCTCCTATAAACCTCCTGCCCATCCCTGCATCCCCCTGGACTCTCACAGACCCCTACAGCCCATTGCGTGAACTGTCAGTGTGAACACGTGACGTTTTCTCACCTGAAGGTTGAGTCAGAGTCGGGTGAGCCTCGGCTTCCCTGATACCTGCCCTGAGCCCTCATGGCGAATGGAAACTGACCCCAGCCCCAGAGCCACTCCTTCCTCCTCCCAGTAGCTGGCTGACTCCAGGGCTAGGACGGTAGCTCTGAGCAGAGGGCTTCTCAGAGGTTCCCCTGATGGGGCGGGGCTCCCGGGTCCAGGGCTTGCCCGCTGGGCAGGAGGAGGTGAGACGGCGATGACTCTGGGGCTGTGTTCTTTCTCATTCCAGATCAAGGAAGACCCCAGTCTGTGCGGGGACCGCCCCTCCGTCTCCGCCGTCACCATGGAGCTGAGCAAGGAAACGCTGGACACTATGTTAGACGGGCTGGGCCGCATCCGGGACCAGCTTTCTGCCGTGGCCAACAAATGACCCTGCCGGCTGCCGGCCCCACTGCCCATGCCCCGGCTGCTGCCAGCGATGGAGCATCTCCCGACTGGACTGACACCAGCAACTCCACTAACACCAGCGGGCTGCCCTGGTGGCCAGGGGACGAAGGGGGGTGCCATCCGAAGGTGCACCCGGATTGGAGGACGCAGCCACACCCCCACGCTGTCCTTATCTTCCTCTTCCCAAGCTGGTGGGCAGGAGCCTCCACCTTTGAAAGGCTCCTGCGAGCACCTGAGGCACAGCCGTGGCCATGTGGGGGCGCATGAGTCTGTCATTGGCCTCATGGCCGTTTGAAAATTCAGGTGCCATTGGGGAGCTCTCTAGTAAGTTCCTTTCCAGCACCAGCTCTGAGGAGCGTGTTGCCAGCCCTGGGCCATGGAGAGCACTAGGTGGTTAGTGTCAGTGGCTCCCGCTTTTCTGTCCGAGAGGCCAGGCTGACCCCACGGAGCAGTCACGACAGTGTGGCCACTTGCCGCAAGGCCAAAGCCTCCTGTCAGCACTGGAAGTCTGAAATGGGGGCCGATTCTCTTCGTGAAGCTGGGGCCCATCCTTGGATCATGCAGCCCCTCCAGGGTGGCGAAGTGGGAGTGATGGGCATAAATAACATTTCTGAAAACAAACTTGTGATTCTGGTCCACTTCTTGTAGCTTCTCTGCTGAGCCTGAGCTCATTGCCTTGGGCGAGGGCTGCCTCTTGTGTGCGGGTGGCCCAGCTTCCTGTTGCCCAGCCAAGCCCATGACCACCTGAAACCACACGGGACCCTCACTGCCTTCCGTGACCTGTGTGTCCTGTAGAGCAGAGGCAAGGTTGGCAGTGTGCTTGTCACAGCCTTGATGAAAGCACCCCTTAGTCACCTGACACCTCAAAGGACTCAGTGCGTGACCTGCCCCTTCTAGATCACTCCCTGAGCAGCAGCCTGTTATCCCAGTGCTTCCCCGTGGCGCAAGCATGTCAAACTCATGGCCGGAGGGCCGCAATTTACTGTGACAGCTTCTCAGTGGTGTGGGGCGGGGGGGTGGATGGGGGTGGGGAGGATGAAGGAGAAGCTGGGTTAAGAGATGAACAGGCAGCATGGGGATGGGAACCAGTTCCATTCCTTGGTGGCAAGGGCTTGATCTCTAAGCCTTAATCCTCCCAGTTCCCAGTATTTAAAATTAATGGGATAATTACGTTACCTGCTCCTAGGGCTTTTGTGAAGATTAAATGGCAAGGCACCCAAGAGCACATGGGAAAGCTGCCCTGTGCCAGCTCTGGTTGTTAATGACAGGAAAGGAGCAAGCCCTGCACATTCCCTGTTCCATCTGCTACAGCAGCAGGTGTGACCATGTTCTCATCCTCCCTTTGTCAATGCAGAAACCCACTCATCAAGGTTAAGTCACCCGCTGGTAAGTGGCCTAGTTAGGTCTCGGGCCCAGCTTTCTCCAGTGTCCTTGGCCACGCCACTCTGCAAGGGCCAAGGAGCTCGGTGGCTTTGGCTCCATTGGGGATACAGGAACTGCAGTGGAGATGAAAAATCCTCCCACCTGGGGAGACACCAGGCGCCTCTGTCCGCTGGCTCCTGGGAGCTGAGCTCCCTTCTGTTCGAGCTCCCTTCTGTTCAGGTTGAGTGCCTTTTGAACTCATCCCCCCGTTTTTCTCCCACTCCCTATGACCCACAAAAATCTTCAAGTCCTGTCCTGTGGGCTTCAGTAAAAAACTAATCTGAAGCAGGAGCCAGCATCGGTGCCAGGAGAGCTGGGCATTCCTTTAGCCAGGTCCTGCTGAGCAGAGCCATCTGGGGGCATGGGAGACAGTGGGCATCAGTAGCTGGACCACTCATAAGTGTTCGCTGCTTTCATCTCACGCTCATTTAAAGGGCTGGTTTCCCACCGTTGGGGAAGATGGGTAGTAGACACCATACTTCCGGTTGGCCTGATCCTCATATAAAAACCCAGGTTCTCCCTAGCCATGCCTCCTGACAAATGTTCATTTCTCTCACAAAGGGCCACATGGGGAAGGACCCGGGTTGGTCAGGAGACAGAGGGGCCGAGGGGACAGCAGGCCTCCATTGGGGTCTTCTCAGGAAGGAAGGGGTAAGCTTAGGATTGGCTGCTGTGAATAATGTGGGCGGGCTCTGGGTTACAGGAGTGTTCCCTCATCCAGGACCTTTACCTCCCCTTTCTGGTGATTTTCAAGGCCAAAGGCATTGACGTCAGGACCAGACATTAGGGTCTTTCCCACACCAGTTCTCTACACACATTCAGTGGGCACCACGTCCAAAAGGCATTAGTCAAGCTCCATGGCCTGGTATTTGCAAATTTCCAGGAAGCGTGTCCAGTGTGGTGCAACAGGCCTCCCTGATTTTGTCTCTAAGCCGAGATGGTATCAGAAACGAGAGTTTTCGTTACTTTTCTAATGTATTTTGACTCTAGAAACCATTGGCTACCCGGCCATCGGGAAGTTTTCCAGTGGTTGATCATTTACAAGAACTATTTGAACCTGTAACTGCTGACTTCCAAGTACTGGTAATTCCTAAGCATTCTCTTACCTGCATGGCGTTGACTTTCGTACAACTTCCTTGTTTAGTGCTCACATGTCTGTGGTTTAATTGTCCTTTTTACAACTGCTTCAAGCCGGGGGGGGGGGGGGGGGGGGGGGAGGAGGAGAAGATTTCCTCGTGGTATTCTCTTGTTGGTGCCAGAGGACTCTAATCCCCCAGGAGAGCAGACCATTCTTCCTTCGAGGAAATGTTAAGAGCTCCTAGAGGGAAGTCTTGAGCTTCTATTAGCCGTGGGCTCTTGGGAAAGACTCTGATGGCTTTTTAATGCCTTGTCTGTGAGTGGAGATAAGATATCTGCTTGGGTAATGCCTGCCATAGATTTACAGTAAGTCGGAATTAGATTCCTCCACTGAAGAAGGCTGCTGGCATCAATGTTGCACTAGCCCAGGGGTCGGCAAACTCATTAGTCAACAGAGCCAAATATCAACAGTACCATTGAAATTTCAAGAGCCAAGTTTTTTTTTTAAACTTAAACTACTTCTAATGCCACTTCTTAAAATAGACTTGCCCAGGCCGTGGTATTTTGTGGAAGAACCACATTCAAGGGGCCAAAGAGCCGCATGTGGCTCGCGAGCTGCAGTTTGCTGACCATGGCACTAGCCGTACAGCCTTAGACACGTACCACACGGTCAAGTTCAGTACAGCCCAGCAAGTTGAACAGCAAATGACTTGAGAGCTACTCGTGGAGGTGACGTCACTGGGGCCATAGTTACAAACACACTGGACCTGCAGCTCAGATGGCTTCTGGTCAGGATATCAGAAAGCTCCCACCCCTCCGGACTTCCCTTTGGTGTATTCAGCTTCTGGGAGTAAGTGTCACCAGGACATCGATTTCACTGCTTCAGCCAAAACCCAATTCCCATGGTCTGGAGAAATTAGTTTCTCTCTCACATAGAAGTCCGGGCTGGTGGAAGGTCTGAGGAGGTCGGATGATTCTGCTCTGGGGGATGGTCCATGGACCCAGGTTCTCTCCATCGTGTTGCCTCACCAACCACCAGGTGTTGCCCTCATCCCTGTGAGTAAATTCTGCTCATCATTCACTCCCTGACACACGTCCCATTGGTTGCAATCACGTGGCCAATATTTAGCTGCAAGGTAGGTTGGAAAATACCTTCTCTGGCTGGGCAGTCATGTGTCTGTCTAGCCACAACACTCAGGGAGAGGAAGTGAGGGAGACTCATTACTAAAATAAAGAAGAGAAGGGATAGTGAGAAAAACTGGCATAGCTTCATTGATCAGTTGCTTTCCTGAGACCAGGTTTCATGGAAAAAGAGAAGAGAAAGGCTGCCCGGGTGTGGGGGTGGGGTTGGGGGTGGAGGTGAGTGTGGATGCAGATGCAGGTGTGGGTGAGGGTGAGGGTGTGGGTGCAATGCTGGTGGATGCTTCTTGAGGCTGAAGACCAGGTCTCCTTAATTTGGTACCCACAGGAGCTAGCACACAGTAGACTTCCCAATAAAGGTTCACTTGTGTCCTACCTTCTACAGACCCACACAGGATTTCACCTGTATTAGTAATAAGTGATGGTTGAAATTACATTGAATTGACCAGAATGGCAGACCAATGGAATGAACATTAACTTGACTTGCTCCTTGTAAATCTACCTCAGCAGTGCCTTTTACCCTAAAAAAAGTTTCATTCAACACCTGCAGAGGGCACCGGCCAGGTGACTCAATGGGTTGGAGCATCATCCCACACACCTGTGTACACCAAGAGGGTTGTGGGCTTGATTCCCGGAAGGGTGCATATGGGAGTAACCAACCAATGTTTCTCACATAGATGTCTCTCCCTTCCTCACTCTAAAATCAATAAACATATCCCCGGGTGAGGATTAAACCAAACCAAACAACAAGACACCTGCAGAGGGATCTGGTGTTTGGGCTCGGATTCACCGACCAGGACCAAGCTCCCATCCCACCTCCCTGCTTCCCATCCTTAATTGACTGCAGGTGTGTGGAGTGGGGATGGCAGCTCATAGCAGCCTCCTAACCAGAGGAGTTTCCCTTGGGCAGAAGGGATAGGAGCTCTGGGAGAGGGTAGAAGGTTGACAGTGAGCAGCAGCAGCAGCATGCTGAGCTCCTGTTCCTGTTACAAAGACCAGCATTTCCAAGGGGCCAGTGGCATGGCGGTGCCCTGTTCTCCCCAACTCCCGGAGAGGCGGGCAAGGAGGTAGGGAGGGAGGGCTAGGAAGGGAGGCAGCACACACTTCCAGGGGCCCTCTCTCTGGAGGGTCTTCCCTTAATCCTGGCTTAACTGCTGATCACGCTTCTGGATCAGGAACAGCCCCTACCAGGGACCTAGGACAGTGGTCAGCAAACTGCTGCTCTCAAGCCACATATGGTTCTTTGACCTCTTGAGTGTGGCTCTTCCACAAAATATCACGGCCTGGGCGAGTCTATTTTGAAGTGGCCTTAGAAGAAGTTTTAAGTGTAAAAAAGAAATTAAAAGAAATTTCTCTCAAAAGAAATTTTAATCGTTGTACTGTAGATATTTGGCTCTGTTGACTAATGAGTTTGCCGACCACTGCCCTCAAATTGATCTCCTGACTTCTTGCATA